TTTTTTTTTACAATCAAATTACAAATAATTCAAAATGTTCACCATAATATATAAACTTGATCAAGAATGTGCTTAGTACACAATGTTCCAATGCGCACACAGTGTGTTTTCTTGTGCGTAAAAGTAACGAAGTGGATTATTTTATTTAAAAGTACTTGTAACAACAAAAATGCAATTTTTATAACTTGTTAATTATTCAAGTGTATTTCAAAATCGAATACCTGTGCATTACCCATTCCCAACTGCTGTTGGAACTTGGTTATCCTAAGTTGCATTGCATTGACTGTCTCTGTTAGACTGTCGATGGTTTGCTGCTGCTGGCTGCAGAACCAGACTGCCGTTGATCCCCCGACAGCGAAAATAAAGAAAACAATGGCAGGGACAGCATATTCTTTAAATCCCCTCGGTGGTGTTACGGATGGCGTCTCCAAGAGCAGCAAACTGTCGTCCTGTTTATTGGTACTTTTTCCTTTGCGTTTGGTCATCTTGGCTTCGCGGATGATCTGCACTGTAGACCGTAACACTCCCCCTTACTTGGTGATTTGGTTAGCTCTCTACTACCAGACCTCAACGCGGTATTGGGCCACAACGAAGGGGAATAATCAAAAGAGAACTTTCAAGCACGAGGAGCGTGAGTAGGGGGCGTTGTGCACTGAGAGGCGGTCTCACTTTCATGGCGCTGTGCGGCACGTACAAACTTACCCAATGTTTCAGTTTTTCAGATCTATCTATCTATCTATCTATCTATCTATCTATCTATCTATCTATCTATCTATCTATCTATCTATCTATCTATCTAAAATGTATATACTCTATCTATCCTGATACTGATGGGAAAATGCATCTCATTTTCATATTTATTTTTTTTACTTTTTGTTTTTATGTTGTATACTTGTAACATAAAATGTATATACTCTATCCTGATACTGATGGTAATATCTATCTATCAATTTATCTATCTATCTATCTATCGATCTATCTATCAATCAATCAATCAATCAATCAATCAATCAATCAATCAATCTATCTATCTATCTATCTATCTATCTATCTATCTATCTATCTATCTATCTATCTATCTAGCTATCCTGATACTGATCCTTAGATCTGGTCAGTAGGCCTCTATATTATAAAATAATTAGCTTAAATATTAAGAACATTGTGCAGTTTAATTTGATTTCTCTTACTCTATTTTGCAGACTCTCTAAAACTTTCAGACTGGTTGATGAAATCTCTCTTCAGATTTTCAGCAGAGATATGAAGACTTTGGTTAGGCCGTTCAAGGATGAGAATTACATTGCACTATTTATTTGGCTCCAGGAGTCTTGGTGGGTCCAAACTTCTTTCATTTTACAATGATGAATGTTATGAAACTTTGCATCTGGCTATCAATAGAGTTTTATTGAATGTAACCATAACTAATGGCTATATCTTTGCCTGACATCTAGACTGCTGTGACTTTATACACTATTGTCACAGACGTCTTTTAGTTTTTGAGACAACTCAAGGTAACCTGATGCTTCTAAAGAAATGAAACATGATTCTTCTTAGCTGATACATAGATAGCCAGACAGACTGACAGACAGATCATTCAATACATATATGTTGAGATATATTTTTATTTCTTCCTTCTTTTTATTTTATTTTTTATTTAAGATCACATCAACTATTACATTTATTTCACTTTCAAGAAATATGATCACAGACTGTGTTGTTTGAAGTTTCTTTACTCTGTAAAACAAGAAAACAGAAAAGTAGTAGTTGTTGCCTAAAAGTTAAAATCATATGAATGATAAACCTCATATCTAAAACATTAACCAAAATATGTTAATTAATATTAAAATAGAAGATATACCTTTTACTATAAGTTTGGTGGAGCACTCATCATGACCAAGGGGGCTTTCGGCTACAACCTTGTACTCTCCCATGTCTTTGGGTCCAACCCTCAGGATGAGCAGAGAACAAACACCACACACGTTTGTGATGTAGTAGTTGGGGTTTGTG